CACTCAGGACAGTGATTTAAACATAAAAGCATGTCTGGAGTGAAGACAAAGGATGATGAAGGAAGAGGAGAAGAGAGAGGTAAAAGTTATTGGAGAGTGGGATATATGAAGTAGAAGAAAAGATAATTGGAAAGTGTCCAGAACTTACCCACTGAAAATCTAAATGGAGGGCAATGGAGCAAAGACATGATGAGAAATTCGTATACATGCCAAAGTGGGTGAGGAGGTCTGAATTAACGGCAATGTCAATATTGGAGAAAATGCATTCCAAAGAACGGCCGTGGGAAGTAATGTGGAATTTCCCCAAAGATTTTGGCAACAGTTGAAGTCACCAATTATGAGGAAAGGTTGTTGGAGTTGAAAAAGTAGGGTTTCAAAGGCTTGAAAGTCACTGGGAAGGGAGGAGGAGAAGTAAATTGAAACAACTTTGAACCAGTGGCAATGAAAGTGGCTTGAAAGGGAGGTATAACATATGGAGAAGGATAGATGTAGGCAGCCATTTTAAATGCATAGGGAATGGGGGTAGAGAGATTGGAAGGTGGATGAGGGAGAGGAGTGCTTTCCTTAATGTCCTCCAGAGTGTCTGGAGACAAGATAAGTGCGAAGATGGGAAGGACCTTGAGCTTTTCTTATATGGAGGGGCAGAGGATATAGACATCTGAGGAGCAGAATTAGGTGTATAAAAAGGATGTAGTAGGAAACAATCGTGTGGAACATTTCCATTGTCATTGCGGTAGGCGAGGAGGAGGAGGGGTAGGCACCAAGGAAGTGGTAGAGATTGGAGTATCTGGTTTCAGATGGATTTTTTTTTTTTTTTTTTTTTTTTCCGGGAGAGAGGGGTAGAGGTGGGAAGGTGGGGGGTAGCAGGAAGATCTAGAGAATATACAGAAAGAAGGAAGAGGAATGGGGCGAAGGACAGCACTGGAGAAGTGAGGAAGAGGAAAACCTTGTTTCATGTCTTGTCTTGCATGGAGTGAGGCCAAGTTTGAATCTGAGAACTGCTACCTCAGACTCAGACTTGTAGGCATAAAATACATTATTGGAGCCACAGCAAATAGCACACGCACATTGTGCAGAGAAGTACGGTTGTTTACCTGGGAATTATATATAACTGTGACAAGGCATGCATGATCGGGAAGGCTGCAGAAAGAAACTTTGCCCACTTGTTTTTGGACTTCTCATTGGAAGAGAGGCATTGATTGAGGCAATACAGTGGAGAGGAGAAAAATAAGGATGAAGAGTAGAAATAAATGGAGGCTGATAATGTAGATGGGATGAGGGATGATGGGAGAGAGGAAGAGATGTCTTTTGAATGTTGAGTTATGACTTGGGTGGATGCTTTGAGATAGATCAAGTTGACACGGTGTCAGCATCAGTGCTCAGATCCATGATCTAAAGGGAGTCAATGGTCAGAAAACCAGTTAAGAAGTTACATTCAGGGAGGCTAACTGATAAAAGGACAAGCCTTAATGATCCTAATAATGCTATCCAGGGTATTAAATCTTCATTATTGGCCACGATTAGCCTAACGTTTATGGGAAGGGAAACAGTCCATGAGGACTAAAGGATAGACGACTAACCATGCCCATAGCTTCCTAAGGCCGTGCAACAAGGCTATCACACTTTAGGAGTTGGATAGAAGAGACTGAAAAAGAGAAGGAAAGGGAAAGGAGATGACGAAAAGGTTGAAGCCCAAAGTAGGGAACTCCCCAACATTGGGCCTGTTTCCTAGGGGCACACCACCATAGGGGGAAGTTTATAATTTCCAAGGGGGGGTGCAAGCCCTTGGGAAAAAGCAGAATTTTTTCTGATTTTTTTTATCTGTTAGCGAGAGCATATTCAAATAATGAGGTTAATAATATGACTAATTTTCATAGTCAATAACATGCTGAGAACATATTTTTGATCTTTGAAATCTGATGGAAAATTTTATTCATAGATGCAAAGGGGGTGATGGAGGGAAGAACAAATCCCTAGAGGAAGTGTTGAAGTAAAAAAGGTAAGAACCCCTGTCCTACAGCCATTATAGTGCAATGTATAAGTTGTGATACTATCCCATACCGGAGCATAGCCATCTTTAACCTGATGACTGACTGCTTTTATATATAGGTCTTGTTGTATCAACAGCTAAATGTCTGTTGTTACCATAAAACTGAATTCAAACACCGACTATGTCCCTAAATTCTTATTTTAAATGTCTCGTAATGCACCAGTTTATCCCTTCGCCCTATCATCAAAAGCATGATATGCTGAAGGAAAGTACGTTAAAGGTGGACAAGAATATCAAAAGATAAAGTTGGGCCCATATACATGTGGACATAAGGGGGCATGTTCGTAGAGAATAAACTTACTAAGCCGCGGGATGACACGGTAGGGTGGCCAGTTCCTTTCCACCCCGACTTTGACCCCGACATGCTGACATCAGCATACCAGGGCTCATTCACAGCTGAGTCGACTAAAAGGGGCGGCTGGGCACTAACCCAGGACCTTGCAATTACAAAGCCAGCGCTCTACCTCTGACTTATGCCACTTCTGGACAAAAAGATATGCATCTGTAAAAGCAGTTAATGATCACAAATGTTATGTGTTCCATATAATCCTCTTATAACACCCTTTTCACTCAAGGGATTGTGCTAGCTGCACAAGGAAGCACCAGGTTAGCCGCTGGTTAGCCCCCTTGACTCGGGGTTGGTAGCCAGATTTCTCACTGACGTGAGACCACGAGATCACATTCTTTGGTGAGGCGGAGTGGAGGCAAAGCACCTCCGGAGGTGGAGTGAAGAATGAAGGGAGAGATAAAGGTGTGTATTTTGAAGTTTGAGTAATGACCCATGTGGATGATTAGACATGAATGGAGCCCAAGTGAGGTAGACGTGGTTAGAATCCCGAGGAGAGACGTGTACAGATGCTTCATCTATACTATACTGTTTTTGATTGTTTGTATTTTAAGCTTTAGAAACTAAAATAAGTTTAGGCATTATTCAGCCTTCCTTCTTACAAACAGTTGAAGACTGACTATAGAATTATCTTTTTTTCTGTAAAACCAAAGATAAAACAGAACATAAACGAAACACCGGCATAGTAAAACACAATAAAACAGTAAAACACGAAGTATAAAATAAAATGAGAACCACCTTCTGTCATGTATGATACAACTGTATTACTTATCTCTTATATTGCCGAGACCACTTTAACCTGTGCACCACAACCACCGAGTCCAACAGGGCTGGAAATGGTCTAGAACTCGAATCGATCTGCATGAAGACCCGGGAACTTTTCGTTGCGGGTCTCATTTGTTTCATATATTTTTTAATGTATATAATTCATCATACATTCTTACTGTAATAATTAAGATATTCTTAAAGTTCTGTTCATAAAATAAATAAAAGTTTTATGAAATCAAACAGTAAAAAGAAAAAAAGAACCATCGTGCACAAGTGGATATTATAGTAAAATAAGTTCCTAAAAATGTTTAGTGTAAAAATGGTTCGTCTAACCTTGAAACACACTAAAATAAAAGTAAAACAAAAAAAGGGTAATGAAACCGCGCAGGTGACTCACTCCAGGTGGGCTTCCCGTTTTCTGTTGCCGCAGCTTCCTCACCACACAGGGCATCTTCAGCCCCGGGAGGTAAATTCAGGGATTTTGGGCGGTCTAGGAGGCGTACGAGGCTGCAACCTCCTCCGTGGAGCGAGGGTGGACGCCGGCCTTCATCTCATATGGGGGGGAGGGACGAAAGGAAATGTAGGTGGCCGTGGGAGAGGTACACAGGTGGTCCACTATAAATTAACCAAGGAAATACCGTGTCCATTGCTCCCCAAGGCCATTTTGGATTAACGCAGAGCCTTTCTTTCACTCTTTCAGCACGGCTCTTATCCTGAGTGGGCATGCCCCAGAAGAGTTTAGGCACCAGGGTTATGTCATGTGGATACTGCTTGTTTATTATTTTCTAATTAAAACTATATTTATTACTTTATCACTGTCCTTCTAATGTCAGCATTATGTTTTCATAACGCCAAGAGAAAATTTACTTTTTAAACTAGTATGGGAAAATGAGTATGATTTTTTAGGGATTTCTTTATTCTTAAGAAACCTATCACAAATAACAATAACGGGTATTCATGAAATCCCTTCTAATATGGCGATATTTCTTGGACCCGCCAAAAAAATAATAATAATAAATAAAGATATATATTTCCAAATTCTGAAAACCACAAAGGGCTGACTTTGCTTCAAATTTACATAAATAAAGGATAACAAAAATTCTTCTATGAGAAAAACAGTATAATAAAATAAGAAACGTTTTATGAAATTAAACAGTAAAAAGAAAAAAAGAACCATCGTGCACAAGTGGATATTATAGTAAAATAAGTTCCTAAAAATGTTTAGTGTAAAAATGGTTCGTCTAACCTTGAAACACACTAAAATAAAAGTAAAACAAAAAAAGGGTAATGAAGCCGCGCAGGTGACTCGCTCCAGGTGGGCTTCCCGTTTTCTGTTGCCGCAGCTTCCTCACCACACCGGGCATCTTCAGCCCCGGGGGGTAAATTCAGGGATTTTGGGCGGTCTAGGAGGCGTACGAGGCTGCAACCTCCTCCGTCGAGCGAGGGTGGACGCCGGCCTTCATCTCATATGGGGGGGAGGGACGAAAGGAAATGTAGGTGGCCGTGGGAGAGGTACACAGGTGGTCCACTATAAATTAACCAAGGAAATACCGTGTCCATTGCTCCCCAAGGCCATTTTGGATTAACGCAGAGCCTTTCTTTCACTCTTTCAGCACGGCTCTTATCCTGAGTGGGCATGCCCCAGAAGAGTTTAGGCACCAGGGTTATGTCATGTGGATACTGCTTGTTTATTATTTTCTAATTAAAACTATGTTTATTACTTTATCACTGTGCTTCTAATGTCAGTATTATGTTTTCATAACGCCAAGAGAAAATTTACTTTTTAAACTAGTATGGGAAAATGAGTGTGATTTTTTAGGGATTTCTTTATTCTTAAGAAACCTATCACAAATAACAATAACGGGTATTCATGAAATCCCTTCTAATATGGCGATATTTCTTGGACCCGCCAAAAAAATAATAATAATAAATAAATATATATATATTTCCAAATTCTGAAAACCACAAAGGGCTGACTTTGCTTCAAATTTACATAAATAAAGGATAACAAAAATTCTTCTATGAGAAAAACAGTATAATAAAATAAGAAACTTTCACTACATGTGCTCCGGTATTTTTTCTCATATAATAATGAAATCTTCTTAATCTCTACACTTTGTACATTTGCTTTCATATTTCTTTCTTAAGGAACGTGTTTCCAATGCAAATGATGTTTTATTATTAATTAAAATTACAACACTGAAAACATAACAAAATATAACAATATACAATGCCGCGAAATAAAGTATCAATATTTAATTATTTGAAATTGTTTCTCTTTTTTTGTTTGCATAACTTACTACTTATTCCGAAAATAATGCACCAAAATTTAATAAAACAAGAACATAAAAAATCATTAAATCATAAAAAAATTGTTAAACATCCAACAAGAACCTGAAACCTTTAGAAACTTGAGAAGGATAAAAAGAAAATATTTTCAAGTTAACTATGACAATAATAATGATAAGTAAAACTATATAAACTGTACTTCGACTAGATTAACAAGAATACACCTTTTTTATTTTTTAAAAAATCTGAAAATATCACTAATACACATGTGAGGGCTGATTTTCTGCATATACAGGCTATTTTAAAAATGCTTAAGTGAATTTATTACAGAACATTTTAACCATGATATGCAGATTATTATCACCACAATACAATATGTAAAAGTTTCTACACTCATTTCGTGAATAGTAAGCTGTCATAGTTGTGCTATATCCTGCTATACATATATCTTAGCTATATAAGAGTGTAAATGCAGTGGAGCAAGTACTGCAGTAAATTCAGTTCAAATCCCTATGGATGAAAATTTAAAATGTCAACTAATTCATCTTACCCAGCTGAATTAAAATGACATCAAAATAAGATACAATTGAAATTCATCAACAATAAATATCATTCAACAAGTGAGCGGATATGAAGTGAAGCTTATCAAAGCATTACTTTTCTTGATAAGATACATTCTAAAATTCACAAACCATATTGGCTGGGTCCTCTGAACAGAGACTAATGTAATGATCAATCAAAATGTCAATTAAGTCAACATTTGAATCAACTGTTAATGTTGTTGCTGTTGCCGTTACTGTCTTGTTCTTGCCACTGCTTTTTTGCACACTCGCTTTACCCTTCTTATAGCATGGTGTGAAACATCATGACGACTTTTCTTGCTCTATTCTCTACGACTCCAAATCTCCTGGTGCCAGGCCTTCACTTCCAAACTGTCAGCGAGACACAGACCTGTCTATGTCCTCATCCATCCACGTCTCACAAAGGCTTCGAAAATCTTGAATGAAATTATATTGCTGAAAAAAAACATTTAAGATAAGGTCAGTATTTTTCCTGAGTGTATGCTCACATGTAGGGCCTATGTGTGTTAGCGTGAGTGTGAGTATTAGCCTTAGTGCTTGTGCCAGGTAGCTTTCACACCAAAGTGGCACGACGCACGTGAAATTGCTGGTGGGGAGTGGCAAGTGACACATGACACAGTGATTTCAGACCAGGTTTGTTCATGCCATATGTCAGGCAGTTTTCACTTGGTTCACAAGATGGCATAATCAAAGAATGACAATGTTATTGTTGTCCTATGTCTATGTATACATATATATGAATATAAACACAAACATAGCAATGTGTAAATAAAAAAGGAAAACGGCCAAAATAAGAAATGAAACAAAACCGTAATGTTTTGAACATTTCACAAGTTCCTCATCAGACGAATAATTAACTGAAATGGATAATCTACTGATCCATATATATACATACACACACACACATACATACATACATACATACATATATATATACATATATATATATATATATATATATATATATATATATATATATATATATATATATATATATATATATAATGCACATACACAAATATATGAATAATAACCCTCCCTGACCAGGACTCGAACCCAAGTCACTCCAGGTATGTAACCAGTAGGCCAATATTAAACCAACCATGCCAGACGACCCATGAAAAGTAGTGTGCAACTAGGATTTCACAAGTTCCATAGACCTTACCTATATTCTCATACTTGGTATGAGCACTCAGTGGAAATTGATTTTGCAATTTAAATTTTAAGTCTCATGTAGTGAGGTATATTTATGAAAGATGGAATAATGCAATGCCGCATTGATATCATTAAATAACAACCCTCCCTGACCGGGCCTCGAGGAATATTCTCTATAGATAAATACTTGAAATCTGCCTGGTTGGCCATTTAACATTCCAAGATGGCGGCCATATTTCAAGATGACTTCTGCCTATAAAACAAGAATATTGGCCCGATTTTGATCAATCCATATTCAGCAAGAGACTTGATGTCTGGCTGAGGGTCAGTTGTTTGAGCCCAAACAAACCTTTCGAAACTTGGATAATTTTCTCATCATCTGGTACAAAAAGATTACATTACACTCAGTGAAGGCGAAAAAGAACAGCAATTTTGTGGGTCCCATGGCAGACACAATGGGTCTTCAGCTACAAATGACCCACAGTTTCAAAAGACCATGTTCCTCCGATGAAGAAAAGGCAGATACAGCTATGGCAACCATAGCTGTGTCATTGGCCTTGATCACTGTTTTGTACACTTTTGTACATGTGATATCTTGTGTTTGCCTCCTCATATTGACACGGGGAAAAAGGTGAAAGGTCCCTTAGTTTGTTACAGACAGCATCCTCATTCTTTGTCCCAATGATACTGACAGCATTATCCATATCTTTAATTGTCTGCAGATAACAGGAACACCTCTATTATGTTCATCTCTCTCGTAGCATGTCTCAGACATAAGACTATCCTGGTAGAGAGGTCAAACACAACATTAACCCTCCCACAGACTTAGTACAGACCTCTTCTCTACCATAGTCATCAAATGTCTTTGAGGTACATGGGGGCAGTACATTGATCATTGCTGAGCCATCAGTAACTATGACTTCTGTTGTTGGTTCTGGAGCAGCCTGATTTTCAAGTTGGAAGAATTTTTTAAGGCACATTCTCTACTTTGATATGAATTCACAACCCTTAAAAATAGCTGACAGTCTTCCTTCAACGATAATACCTTTTCCATTGAAATAATGGGAATGGGTGACGCTTGAAGAATGCAGTGTGATTCTTCTTGACTAGCAAATATGGATTTTTATCTGCATCCAAAGATCTTCCATGAATGTTCTGAACTAAGCCTTGCCTCCTGTCTGATGAGTACTAACAACTGCTGCAGCAATTGGTACCTTTGTGTCAAGCATCAGCAGATCAGATGAATCTTCATAGAAAGGGTTCCCCATTTCACTCACCAAAGAAGAGTTCCTTAATTTTGTCAAATGCTTTCTAGGCAGTCAAGCTCTGTTCGTGATGCCTCACAATGCTGGCTGCTTTTTTCTTTCCTGACATTTTCTAAGAGGGAGCAACGAAGTGAACTGAAGTCACTTCAGGTCCAGTGACTATCCAATGCCTGAGTTCTACAGATCTGTGATATCCACTACTACTCCACCTTAGTGTGTGTGTGTGTGTGTGTGTGTGTGTGTGTGTGTGTGTGTGTGTGTGTGTGTGTGTGTGTGTGTGTGTGTGTGTGTGTGTGTGTGTGTGTGTATGTGTGTGTATGTGTGTATGTGTGTATGTGTGTATGTGTGTATATGTGTATATGTGTATATGTGTGTATGTGTGTGTGTGTGTGTGTGTTTGCGCGCGTGCGTGTGGAGTGCGTGCGTGCGTGCGTGTGTGTGTGTGTGCGTGTGTGTGTATAAATATGTGTATATATATATAATATATATATATATATGCGTGTGCATGTGCGTGTGTGTGTGTGTGTGTGTGTGTGTGTGTATACATATACATATATATATACATATATACATATATATCAATCCTTAATATATCTACATACATTCAATACATTATATATATATATATATATATATATATATATATATATATATATATATATATATATATATATATATATATATATATATATATATATATATATATATGTGTGGAATTCATGTCATACAAATTGCAAGAAGAACAAATGTTATCCTGTACTTCCCTTTGTTGTTCTTCTTGCAATATATATATGCATAATATGTATATGCGTGTGTATATATATGTATGTATGTATGTATGTATGTATATATATATATATATATATATATATATATATATATATATATATATATATATATATATGCATATACATGAGGTCAGCAGGTCAGTAGTCTGACAATGCAAAATTTAAGGTACATGGTACCTTTCCTTTAATTTTTCTCTTTCTTCATGATTTTGGAGCACTTTTATTGCACAGTATGATATTCTCAAATGCAACAATAAAGCAAATAGTACAATCAGCACACAAAAAAATCAAATAAGAATACTGCATTGCTAGGTAACTGTATGGAACTCACCTTAACAGTTTGCACTGCACAAGCCCCCCTGAGGTCCCTGAGCAAAAATATTGTCTGGTCTGGTGTCACAGAATTATCAAAGTATTGCAGGAGGCAAGATGCTACCACACAAGCTCTGCCCAAGCCACCCATGCAACTGTGAAGAAAAGCAAAAGAGATGTCACAAAATGGTTTAGATTTTCCTTTATATTTTTTGCAGGGTCCAAAATTTAATTTTTAAAAATCTACTTCATATAATTTCAAATTACTTCCGGTTTTCTACCCTTCTATTCTTTTCACCCTCTTTCTTATTTCTAATTTAATTTAATTCTCTAATTTCGGTTTTATGCAACAATAGATTTGTATGGTTAATGGTTAATTATCATATAATTAAAATGCAAACTAAATGTGCTTGATATTAAAGGCAAATAGCACTATTGGAAGGCATAGTATCAGAAAGAGTAGCGAAGGGGGTGAATTAATGATTAGGTGCTATACGTCAACAGTCATACAGCCGTAGTGGTATTGGAAGGGTAACGATGGAGAGAGCAAAGAAGTAATTAGATCAAGAAAATTATATGTATGCATCTGAGGAAGGAGAACAAAGCAGAAAGGAATTCCATAAGGATGCTTAACAGATTGGAATCATAGGAGCGGATCAGAATGTAACAGGAGATAGGAGTGCGTAAAGCGGGTGTAGCCATTAGCTAAGTGAACAAGAGCTGTCTCCCAGCGTCTGTTCTGATGATATGAGGCTGACCAGGAGGAGATTGATAGGTTTACGGGAAGTACTTAATTGGTGAGAAGACTTGACCAAAAAGACTGCCAGGAAGGTCTTAACCCCTACGACCAGGCTCACGTCATGGTGTTAGTGTGGTGTAAATATAGTGATGGAGCATACTAAAGTATCTGCCAGTTCATTGCCGGGGATTCCGACATGGCTGGGCACCCAGCAAAACTGATTTGTACCCCATAGACAGGTAGAACAACTAGTCCTGAATCTTACAGACAAGGGGGTTGGTCGAATGCAAAGATTTTATGAGAGATAGTGAGTTATGAAAGTCAGTAAAAATAGTGAAAGAGGAGGATGGGAGCGAGTATAAGTGTAGTAAAGGAAAAGGGTGTGTATATAGCTCTGTAATAAGGACACTGCACTCAGGGGGAGGGGATATTTGAATGTACAAGTTGGGAAAACTACTGCGAAAGCAGCACCAGAAATGTATTTGGAGCCATTAGTGTAAACATGGATACTGGAAGAATGAGTGGAGACATAGTCAAGAAAATGGAAAGAAAAAGGAGCATTTTAGGACTCATCAGAGGACAGGGAGAGTGTGATGGGAGTTTCTTTTCTGGTGGTCTTAATGGAAGAAAAGTGTGGAAGGCGAGAGTCACTATTGGACTGGCTGAAATAGTCATTTGCAGGTCGGGAGGTTCAGGGAATGGATGTACTCAATATATATATGTGTACTCGATATATATGCTATTATGTGAAACATTGTAGCATATATACAATAGATGAGAAAGAGGATGGGGGGAGAGGAATAGTAAAGAATGTACTAAAAGTATGTCAGTCTGCTGTATCAAGATACTATCGTGGGGGATTAGAGGGACATATGAAGTAGGAGAAACGAGATTTGGAAATGTATATATGTATATATATGAGGATGTGCACGAAAAGTCTCTTGATGACAGATAATGAATGGGATATAAGAATTCATGCCATTTTGAGACATCACCTGTCCATTGCTGTGATGTGATATCACGCATTGCCTGTGAGTTTAGAAAGTGGTGCTATTTTGTTAGGAAAAAAAAATTGTTTAGGATGTGGAATGTTTAACTTTAGGGTGAAATATTGCTGGCTGCATATACATACCATTAGAGGAATAGCAATTGATCGCATTTTCCCTTTAATATCACAAACTAAATAAATATCCCCCCCATCCAGTGCCCGTTGTTGGGGGGGGGGGGGGGTCACATCATAGTAAAGGACAGGTGGTGTCTCAATATTTCAAGAGTTTACATCCTGATCGCCAAACAATCACCCAAGTTCTGGTCCTCCCCTAGGTTGGCCAAATTTTTGCCTGTCATTGTAGGCTTAATTAGACAGCACCACCCAAAAGAATTATAATAATGTCAATATTCATAACATAGATACATTTCAATACTTACTGTACTAAAACCTTCCGTTTCTCTTCGAGAACTTGCCTGATACAATCAATAATGGTCATAACAATGTCAATGGATGGGGCAGTTCCATCAAGGAATGGGTAGTGGTAGACACGTATTCCTCTAATTTCATATTCACTGATCAGGTCAGGAACACGGTACTTCCTGAGCTCACCCTTTGTGACTAATGTTACTACATCTGTTATTCCTCTTTCTTCAATATTATCTGAAAGAAAATATAAGTTTAAAATTCCTCTAACTTCAAATGCATATATACTGCTAATAGGAGATGGAAACCTTGTCATGGAAGAATGTGTGAAACAAATAATAATAATATAACATTATAAAAGTTAACCACAGTTTCCAAATTAAACCAAGTAAAGCTGCATAGAAAACAAGCCCCTAAGCATAAAGCTGCATAGAAAACAAGCCCCTAAGCAAAAAACATGTCACAAACAACTAAACGGATCTCTGTCAATGCTGGCAACATATTTGAATACGTAATTCAACTAACTACGAAATTTAAAACATACCAAGATCTGTGCTAAGGTTCTGGAAGATATTTCTGAAGCGGCATCCTGGCAGGCCACTGAGGGCTACGCTTTCAGGGCAACCCATGAATGACATATCTAACCTTCAAAAGAGAGAAACCAAATTGAAAGGACTCGCTAAACATATTATGGGAGGATCAATCACTATATAAACAACAAATTAATTAATCAATTAATTAATAAGAAATAAAAAACAGGAAATACGGAATTAAATAATAAATTAATAATCAGATTCACGCATAGTGCAATCCGAATTTGACAAGAATGCGGTGCTACACGCATGAACCACTCGCATAGCGTAATCCCAATTGATAAGAACGCTATGGGAGGGCAAAGAGAAAAAACGAGAGGAAGAGCGAGGGGAGACTGGGGGCTGAACACGTGGCAGCTTCGGCCTGAGCTATTAAACTCGTATTTTGGCGCAGTTGGTTGGAATCCAGGCGGAAGGGTTGGGTGGGATGACCCAGCAGGACTGAAGGAAGAATTAGTGTAGCATAGCCGGAGTTCGAGAAAGAGGAAGAGTGAAGAGGATAATACGGTCATTAAGGAAAGTCCTTGCTGATGTGCCTGCCTGAGCAGTGCTGTCGAGGTTCCCGCCACAGCAGTGACCTGGTAAATGCAGAGCAGAGGATCCAGCAGACGCTCCTGGGACAAAAGTAAGCAGACCAAGAGGACTGCAGCAGACAGAAAGTTTGTGGTTACAGTGTTGTGTCAGGGATGCGGAACTGAGGATGTGTTGACACGAGTGATAGTGTGGCTACATTGTATTTTATAGAGGTTCTTCTAATTAAAGTTTAGAAAAGGAACACTACATTCATCATCCATTCTTTCCACATTATCTGCCTAATGTCTCACTGGTGTCAGGAGTGGGATTGTGTGGATAGCATTTGGATTAGATGAAGAAGAGTGACACAGAGCCACAGGGCAGAGTAGAGGATGGCAGAGAGGCTGCAGTCAGTGAGCAGATGCAGGTGCAGTGAGAAGGGTCATTCACTACATTGGATGCAACCAGAGGCAGTCTACAGCAGCAAGTCGAAGGACTGACACGACAAGAACAGGATAGGTGGTCAAGAGTAAGATGGCAGATCAGCAAGATATGTGCCGGCAGATGATGGAGCAGCTGAGCGGGCTAACTGCTCAATGTTCTTGCTACTTCTAGCATTTTCAACATCAGCTGGACCAACCACCCCTCGCCCTAGATTGATTATTTAAAATTATCTGCCGTGTCAACAGCTAAGGTCATTAGCGGTGAACACCTTGTTAGACTGAAATATTAAAGTATTTAAAATGTTAAAAATCTATCAATAAAGGTCATATATAACAATAAATTAATTAAAAAATCAAAGCATAAACAGTATGTTCTAAATGTATAAAATTATTGCATAAACATTAGGCATAATTAAATTTTATTGAAAATATTAGTTTCCCTAAGGAAACTAATAAGACCCTCTATGTCACGATCCTCCCCCAATATATTTTTCAGTGTATATGGGGGAGACAAGTACCTTCGTCTTTGGTCTGAGAATGTTGAACATATTTCCACTACATGTGCGACCTATAATGGCTCTTGGCATTCCTTAAAGCGTGCCATCATCGGCCCATGAGTCAGTCTTGTGTGCCCAATTCTCAGCCTTGTTAATACAACTTCTACTTGTCGGTTGCGATGGATGCTGGTCACCCAACTGCCAAGGTCATCTCTAATATCTCGGTTTGTTTCTAGAGGTATGCCTCCATTGTTCCCTCCATTTATCACGAAGACAACTTCTGATGCTGGGTTTCAAATCAGTGTGTGGGAGAGGAAAACGAGCATCACAGGGCTGAGTGGCAGCTGCCTTGGCCTTCCGATTAGCTCGTTCATTCCCACTGATACCAACATGTGCTGGCATCCAACATAGTTATCTTTTTACGTGCATATTTCTTTAATGCCATAATCGCCTTATAAATTAAGATGTACAGCCCAGCACACAAAACTGCACCTGTTCAAAGCCGTCATACACCTGTTCATCACATACTCACTCACACGCCCTCACAGTACAAACAAAATGCAAGCTACAGGTTAATCAACTTTACCACCTCTACCACATCCTATCTCATCATCCTACCACATTCATCCCACATCTCATTGGTACCGGATTTCCGACACGCGGCATCTACTGCTTGAACCCATGCCATAACCGGAACTTCTTTGTTGTGAGGAGTGCCAAAGCATGAGCCAGGAGGAGGTGCCATGGCCAGTGAAGTTAATCCAAACATGGTGTAATCACCAGAGCATATCTCCTGCCGCCGACAGAGAGAAAATTCTGATCAACACAGGCAGGGAATATATCTTCTAATAGTGATCACACTCATATTTTAACCTTCGCAGTCTCGAGGTTAACCGTGGGCACCACCATTGCAATGGGTGAAAAGTCTGTGAACCCTTGCTGACCTTTATCCACCTTTCTGCTTCCTTGTCATCTATCCTCCAACTTTTACCCTGCATGCTGGGTTAATGCTCAGCTCTTTCTCTATTACTAAATCATCCATTTTATCATCTTATCCTTGCCCTCTCCCACCTTCTTTCCCCTTTGGCAATGGGTCTGAACCAGTCATGGGATGACCACTCTCCCTCGCATTGAGGAGCCCCCCTCCCCTAGACTGGTTCACTGGGAAGAGATGTCTATTTTTTTCTACCAAGATGCTTAACCCATAGCTGGGATTGAATAGCCCCCTGGCCTCTCCCAGGGGGGTTCACTTACCCACATGTTTGTCATGCTTGGCAACCTTGAGCACTGTGAAGAGGTTTAGCAATGCCATGCATAAGTATGATCTGAGGCTAGCAACAAGCCTTTTTGGTCCATTATTCCATGTGGTCTAATCCTGGCCGGGTCAGGTCAATCTCCTGGTCATCTTTGGGAGGCTAGGGTCATGCAATCACTGCTTCATTGGCCTCACAAAGGTCCCATGAGTACAAGCCAGTGGCAGTGTATACCTTCTTACTACCCCTGTAGTTGTTAGATGAACAATAACATTCAGCTTACCTTTGTTGGACTCTATGGTGAGTGGGGGCATGAGAAGGTGAGGGAAGCGCTACACCATATGGCAACCAAAACCCGAATATCCACTAGTATGGACTCATAATGACAACCAATGCACAGAACCGACCATGGCAGTTATTTTGAACCCAGGTCGTGGGGATTTCCCAAAGTGAAAAAAGAGACTAACCAAGTGAGTCCTGGTGACCCTGAAGGGAATCCTACTCACACTTAATTTGGGTAACTAACTAGGCTAACTGCAAAGATAAGCCTAAATGTGGTACTTGTAGCAAGCGGCACTGAGGTGTGCCTTAAGGAACATAAGGAAGGCTAAAGGGACACAACAGCTAAATTTCCCAACTGTGCCAAGAGGCATCATGCCTGGAGCTGGGCCAGCTCTGTCATGAAGGAGGCAGCCCTCAGGCGGCAGGTTGTTAAAAAACAACCAGATTTTGTTCCTACTCCTCCAGGCACCCATGTCTGAGGACAGAACAAACGGGATAGGGCTCCCCTACCTCCTATGAGGAAGGACGCACCCCCCCAACTGATACCTCCAGCAAAAAGCTTTATTCAAAGAGATGCCATTCTAAAGACAATTGAGCAATCAAGCAATACTGACATTGCCATGCTCCAGGAAAAACTAACAAAGGATACCGTCTCCCTCACTATTGCTTCACAATAGCCAATCCACCACACTGTGGATGTGGTGTCGGATCTCTTGCTGTTGAGATCAACATGGTCAAGGGACCCTTCAAGCAGTGCAATGTATACAGCAAGCCAGGCTGTATAAGCTTAGACATCAGTGAGGTTTGTGCTACTGTAGCACAGGATCGAGAGCAAGTGATCATAGGGGAAAATTCAATGCGCACCACACTTTCCTGGCTCCTTGTAAGAGAGCAGATGTAGCAGGTTATCACATAGCCAAGGTCCTTGAGTCATTCCCCAAGATTACAAAGTTGCCACCCTCTTGGATGCTGGTCCAGCCTCAATGCCACAGCATAATAATAGATCAAAAACAGACAAGCCAACTGGTAAGTCTTCCAGAATCCCATGGCCTGCTGCCTTAGAAACAATGAACTCTAACAGAGTGTAGACATTGATAAGTCTGAGGCCAGAATTATCAATGTCATTAATCAGGCAGCCTCACAGACCATTCCTAAAACTCGGCTTGTTCCAGGTAATATGTGCAGAAAACATTTTCGAAGGTATAGAACGCCTCATAATCCCTGGAATGCCATGAAAATTGTCAAGAGAGTCAGACAGGAAAAGTGGCTGAAATGGTGTGTCCTCTGGCCACCAGACCACCCTAACAAAGGTGTCACAACGAGTCAGAAGAGCCACCACCCGCTCAGCCTCTAGATGCACACACCACTACCCTCAGAGGCAGAGAGGCTGGTGTTCAAGATTTCTGCAAGAATAAGTAGCATTGGTCTGCTAGCTGGACTGAGGGCAAACTAAGAATGCCGACAACCAGACAGACTTGCTCTCATTAGAGACAGAATCCAAGCCTGATAACTCATAGTTTCTCCCAGAGAAAACTAAGAATAACATGCAAAAACAGTTCTGGTTCAGGCCCAGGCTCTGATGGGATCTCCTACCCCATCATTTGCCACTAAGGGCTGGAAGGTGAGCTTGCATTCCTGTTATTCATCAACATGTCCTGGGAAACTTACCCCAGAGATGGAAGAGGGCTCCCAATCCCAAAATCAGAGAGGTATCGCCCTATTTCTCTCAAGTGTCTGGACAAGACAGCCTAGATGGAAACTGGGACCCCCGCATAAACACATGGATTCACAAGAAGCATAAGCACAGCTCACAGCATAACCACGCTCTTAAGAACCAGCACTGCCACACTGTCACAGCAAATCCTCTTGCTGTTCAAGAGACCCTGACCCAGAAGGGAATAATCTCCACTAGTCAATACTGCCTAAGGAGAGCCCAGCGCTGTCTTGACCTTGTGTCTGAGAAGTGTTGTAGGTCACGACTAAAGAGCTCTGTAGTCTAATTCAAGGCCATGGCTTTGAGACTTAATGTACATGATCCAAGAATGCATGTCCAGGAAATGGACCCAAAGTGGGTTCAGGTCTTCTAATATCTCAGGGTATGGGTTGACTAGAACTTCTCCTTCCAAAAGGAGATCCATTAAATGGTTGATCAAACTAATGCTCTGTCATGAGAGCAATGAGTGGGGGACATAGGCGCAGGACATAAACTACAAAAATCATTCTATGTACATGCTCCCAGTCTCATAGTGGACTATGCTTCTGTTCCCCTGATTGCTACCAAGCCAAGACTCAGAGAAAAAATGGAGACACACCAAAATGAAACTGCCAGAATTATTCTGGATGTCCCAAGGTAGACAAAAGTTCTAAAATTCTACATGGAGGCTAAACTTCTTTGCTTGGACCTAATTGATCTAATGGCAGCACAGTTGCTTTCTGAGGTCACCCATGCATCCCCAAACACATACATCAGATAAAAAGTACTTAGACACCTAGAACTAGTTTACATGCTCTTTGCATACAACTCTTGTCTGTTAAATACAGCCAGGGTGTTAAGACACTACCAGCTCAAAGAGCAACTTGTCAAGGGTATGAACTCCCCCCACCCTAACTATAATGACCCCCCGCCATGGGCACAGACCTTGACCTCGAGTTTTCTGTTATAAGTTTGTCAAGGAAAAAGAATCATGCCTGGACTGAAGGCAGAAGCCATGAGGTTCACTGCAGCCATCACTTCTCCAGGTAGAACCTACTTCTTGGATGGATCAGTCGATCCTTTAAGCTACACTGCAGGTGCCAGCTTTGCAGCAAAAAAGAAAGGATGCCACAACATCCAGAAGGGTAACAGATAATGCCTCATTGCTCCAAGTAGATGCAGCTGCAATCAAGGGAGCCTAGCCCATGCGTCACTGAGGGAAGGATACATGGTTATACATACAGATCTAGGGGAGCCATTAACAGTCTACAGCACAGCATGCCCATCGATATCTATCCCCTAACCACTCTGCTTACCATAGCACAGAGGATTATTACAAAGGGTAGAGGAATCATTATAAACTGGATCCCCAGGCACATGGGCATCAGAGGAGATGAGTTTGTTGGCAGGGGTATGCCTCCAAATCCCATGATCATTCACCCAAGCCGAAAAATCTTAATGCCACAGCCACAGCACAAGCCACTCTTCTGCAGCTACACAGAGATAGCGAGAACCTACCCTTTGGCTAGATAGTTCTCAGATACCATAGGCTTTGAGCCACTGGCACTCTCCGAAACAATTAACAGAGGTGCCTACGTTATTCTTCGCAGAATCAGACTAGGCTACCCTTTTATGTTATCTGCAGAGGAGTAGCCTCCGGGCTAGTACAGTGGTAACGTATCGGCCTCTCATCCGAGGGGTCGGCGGTTCGCGCCCTGCCCAGGCGCGAGAAGTTGCAATTGTCGCCTGGAGGTTACTGCTGTGGCTGGGCACCACGGTGGGTAAGGACTAAGCTCATCCGAGTCAGCACCTGCTGACACACTGTTAGCGAGTCGACATTAGTCGGCACAGGCCGGGCTCCCCCATAGCCCGGGCGAGGATCAGCTTCGCATATCCTTATGCAGAGGAGTGAGCATATTCAAAATCTAGGATTGGGACCACCCACCACAGCCGCTGGGCTGTGGTTACATCATGGAGGCTGGAGCGCCTGCTGGCAATCCGGCTGTTGAGACAGCTATAAATAGTTGACACAAGTGCCACGTATATATAAAACTGGGACGAAGTTGGTTTTCGCAAATCTGAAATGAACTGAACCGAGATCAATGGATCATACTCCAAAACACTCGCCCAAGCAGCAGTAACAAAGAAATGCACAGTCCTTTACTAACTGGGGAGTCTCTCCAGCTACCATGTAGATCTCCAGTTCACCAACAGTAACCAGCCATAACAGTGTACACTCACATCAACTCTTTCACTCCACAAGGAGATATCGACCAGTTATGTAGTAAATAACACCCCATGGGGTGCATCTCTTACATGTCTGGTGGTTTATCTCATTGGGGAGTGATTGCTGGTATCAAGTATGTATATGAGCGCGCGCGCGTATGTGTGTGTGTGTGTGTGCGTGTGTGTGTGTGTGCGTGTGTGTGTGTGCGCGTGTGTGTGTGTGCGTGTGTGTGTGCGTGTGCGTGTGCGTGTGCGTGTGCGTGTGCGTGTGTGTGTGCGTGTGTGTGTGTGTGTGCGTGTGTGTGTGTGTGCGCGCGCGCGTGCGTGTGCGTGCGTGCGTGTGTGTGTGTGCGTGTGTGTGTATAAATATGTGTATATATATATAATATATATATATATATATATTTATATATATGCCTTTACCACCCAACCTAAGCTACAGATACGATTGACAAACTACATCCTGGTTCGTTAATTGAAAAAATGTAAAACATGCACATAACACCTAGCTAATGTTCAACTGCAAGATCCCTGCGCTTGATCCCCTCAATGTTACTGAATCAGCAAAGTTTTCCAGATTATTAGGGTGAAGGGATTCCCAAGCCTTTAGACTGGCTGCCTTGGCCTTATGTACTGTTGATGCATCAACATAAACTTGGCTTTCGGGATTGCTCAGAGATGCTCGATAGTCCAGAGATTTTCAGGCCAGGCATTAATGTACTTTTTATCACAATAATTATTTAGTTGTTCATTAAACTAGTTGTCCCATCCGTTTGGAAGAATCGGTGCATGCTTAAGATTTTTTTAATAATGTTATAGGAAAATCATTCAGAAGAATGAATGCTGTGTGGTGCAGTGATAGATTCCTCGTGTACCTATCTTGCTGACCTACATGTATCCTGCACTTTTAATGAATGGCAACTCCGACCATTCCTTCCACACAGGGTAATTTAGAAGCAAAACAGACAACCTGTCACACTAAAAATAGCAATTGTCATTGTAACAAATGGAATTAATTTAATTAAATATTATCAATTATTTCTTTGTTCAATGTTTCGGTTATAAAAAAAACTACTCAATACTCTGTAACCAAAGAATCCTTATATCAACATATACTGTAGGTATTTCATGCTCTCTGCAACAAGCTTTTTCCCTATAGCAGAGTCTTAAAGTGGGGTCCCGACACCAAGAGGTGTCGCGAAATAATTTTAAGGGTTCACCTTTTACTTCTTGAATGTGGGTCCATGCTCAGTGTCCATTCACATGGCTAGCAAAACTTGCGTATCTTGCAAGCATTTATGAAAAACTGAATGAGCTGAACTTGTCAACACAAACATTTTGACAATGTCCGACAAAGTAAATGCATTCAAAAGGACAACAGGCTGTGAGATCTGGAGGGAAATGTTATGTTTCCCTTGCTGGAAGAATTTGTTGAAAAGAATGAACTGCTTGAGAGGAGCCATAACCACTCACCTTCGAAGCCTCTTTGGCCACTTTAAAAAGTACTTCATGGAAGAGACAACTCCACAATAACATGATTGGATACGACGACTGTTCACTTCTACGAGAGAGAGAGAGAGAGATTGATTCATACGAGCTTACTTACATACATGCATACACACACACACTTGCATGCATTGACAGGCAAGAAGATACATAGAAACAGGTAATGTGTTATAGTGATAGTCAAAAAAACATTGCTGCTTGGAGAGTAATTTGTAGAGATTGCAGCCAAAAAAAATAGGGCCACGGGCCCTTGTGATATATGTCATAATAAATGATGTTTCACAGAACCACAAAATTTTCTTCTATTTATCGAGAACCCAATGTTTCCTGACATTACAAGTCTCGTACTTAAGCATAACCTCATGGAGGCGCCATGGTATAGTTCTCACTGAATTCTTCCCTAAAAGGCAGTGTTAGTTGAGAGCGGATTCGGAGGGATTCATAGGGCGAATCGTAACCCAAGATGAAATGTGGGTTCCTCACTTCGATCCAAAACCTCTGCTTGACAAGCGCCGAAGGAAAGTGACCCGAGGTGTTCTTCCCTTGCACCTGCGCACAAGAGCATGGTGGCCATGAAGAATGTGGTGTCCTTTGATTTGTTGTCCCATCCCCCTTCTTTTCCCGAAGAAGCAGCTGACGAGGAGGACACCAAGGAGAGGGTCATGGAGGTTTTGGACGGATTTAACCCACCATTCTTCATGGACGGATTTTCGCAGTTGAAGACGAGACCGGACAAGCGCATCACGGCCAAAGTTGATTACGTTGAAAAAAAAGTGAGCTGAATGAATTTTTACTTTATTTTTCCTTCTAGATAAGGCCAAGAACTCGTTGAATACCTCTCGTAAAACACATACAGAAGGGGAGGTCATTCACAATAATGTAATCAACTGACAATAATGACAATAAAATAAAAATGATGATTTTTTTTGAGTGTGTGTGCGTGTGTGTATGTGTGTGCGTTTGTGTGTGCGTTTGTGTGTGTGCGTGTGTGTGTGTGTGTGTGTGTGTGTGTGTGTGTGTGTGTGTGTGTGTGTGTGTGTGTGTGTGTGTGTGTGTGTGTGTGTGTGTGTGTGTGTGCGCGTGCGCGTGCGTGTGTGTGTACATGTGTGTGTGTGTTTGCGCGTGCGCGCGTGCTTCTGTGAGTGTTTGTTTTATGTGTGTGCGTGCGTGTGTGTGTGGGTGTGATTAGTCATAAATACAAATATAAAAATGAGATATATTCCATATAAAACTGAAATATATTCTGGCAGGCACTTTATTACTTTTTAAGCACTATATTTAGGGGGAAAATTACATACCAGTCAATTTTTAATGTCTGTACTGGAACCACATTCGTCTCTTCTTCAGAGTCTGATGAGTCAAACATTTTATAACCTGGAAAGATAAGTTTTGACTAAGAATATTGGAAAGTGCTAAAGACTGGGCATTAAAATGAAAACGGATATACAATCTTTATATCCGTTTGCTTTGCTTTGTGACAAAAACTTAAAATAGGCAATAATACATCAATATCAAAATTTTAAAAACCTTTAAACCTGAGTGTCTGTCATTGTTCAGAAAAGAAATAAAGGATTCTTGGCAATGCGAGATCAGTGCACTTCGCAGTTTTTGGTCTCCAAGAATGGCCGCGACCTCAACCTCTGGGTGGTTATTTGACCTCATCGCATAAATTTCCTAAAATCAAGTTTTTTATTGTTATTTGGCAGGGGTGCCAATATTCATCTTGCGGGTTAACAAACGTAAATACCTAGTGGCAAAAAGTGCATAATTATATGTAGTGTATTATACAACTCAACTTTGTCATGGCATACAACGCAAAAACTATTATGCAGCTTGCGTCTTTTACTTAACTTTCCAGTAACTGCACTGCAGTCTTTTTCAGAAAATCTTATGGCTGCACTTCAATTTAAAGATTTTCATTTATAATAGTTATATGCATCTACCTTCTATAATAGCAGTATCAATATGAATGAACTATTATCACGGTGAAACAAAATTATTTATGATTAGATGGTTATCAAGGGTTTCAGAAAGCTTGGTTGGGGAGGCCTGAGAAACGGGGAGAGGAAGAGGTATATGTAGAAAAGGATGCAGTAGATGGATGGCCCGTTTATATTGTCTGATGCGATGGGTAAAGTTTAAATCTGAAGACTGTTACCTCAGCTGCGATCGAAACAATGAAACAAAATCATTATAAATATCTTCATTATTTTTTATATTGTCCTTTTCACTGGCATTATTATCAATAGGTATAAGCGATACCCTTCTTTTCGAACCTCTAGCGACCACGTGCAAGATATTCTGTTTTCGTGTCTTGCAGCGCTGAACCCGGTAACGTTTCAAGATCTGTATACACAGTTAGGATGCCTATTGACTATTTGCATAATGGTATTTGCTTATTCCCAACTTTGCAGTTTTATCAGTTCATAATAATGATTCTCATACATCAGTTTTTACATTATTGATTACACCGGCATACTTTATCAAAATGTTTACAGTCGGATTTTCTCACGGCTGAAATAACGAATAATTTGAGTAATAGCATTTGCTTCTTTTCAAGACATCAATATGTAATTTCTCTATGCACTGTTAATTACATCATTACTGAGATAAGTGATGAATGAAATGTGGTTTAATCATTCTTTTTAAGGTATGACAAAGCTTCCCTTCGCAAGAATCACTGGCATGAATTGAATAAATGTGACCAATGCTGTCCAAAACCTTGTCAGTCAATGCAAGGATCCCTAGCCATGTGCGAGAAGTGTGACCGTTGCCTTGTTCAATGAACTTAAGTACAACGGATGAACATTCTAATAAGTGAGATATAATTCAGTGACCCCTCTTATCATTTGGCGAACCTGTTAACCCACTTTTGCCTCCGTTTTAACCTGTAAGTTTCATGCCATTTAATGTTCTCAAGAAATTCTGCAACTATTTTATTTTCTGTTCTCAATTATTTCAATGTTTATTTTGTTGTTTGAAGTTCTCAATAAGTTTTATATCCTCTATCTGATCTCATAATATAGCTAAGGATATCTGAAAAAAAAAATAATTGTGATTAACATAGAAAAAGGTGTAGTAGCCATAACCTACAACCTACACACCTCATGGTTTGCTTACACAGTTCCCAAACACTTAAGTTTGGGATCCAGAGCACACATCAACCAAGCAGTAGCAACACAGGGTCTGCCCAGTTCATTGACGACTGAAGAGCCTATCCTACTCCCCTGTAAAACTCCACTAACAGCATCCAGCCATAACCGCGGGCACACAGCCACTCAGTCCCTCCCCAAAGAGACTACAACTAATCATGTAGTAGAAACATCCCATCTACACTGATGAACATGAAGTGAAACATAATGGTATTTCACTTGCTAAGTTCACTCACAGAAGGGGTAGTACCTGTAACTGCCACAGCCTGCAACCTAAATCATTCAGCTCTGCATACCTCCCAGACTGGGTCATGCCAAGTCTGTGGTCATAGGCTTGTTCACCAGGCCTGTGCATATCGTACCAGCCCATACTGGCAAGTTCATTAAGGTACATGTTCCTGCCACCCACGGGGCTGCTATTGATGTTCTTGTTACTGGTACCAGTAGCATGTCCTCATGCTCTAAAACCTCGCCTGTGTCAGCCACTGACCTGTGTAGGTTCTGAATCTAGACTGTCGTGAGGCCACCTTGCACTGTAGAACTCACCTGGCCACATTCCATGACATCAACTTCATTGATGACATGTATGACTCCACGTGTACTGTATACAGTGATATGCCGAGACCAGACCATGAAGGTATGTGCTACAGTCTCACTTACTTTAAAGTCTAGGATAGGCATTGTTTCCAGTGACTTTTGTGTGAGTTCCCACGGCTGTTCTTGGATGACTAAGTGGAATAAGGAGAGGTACCCGATGTCCTGAATCATAAACTGGTAACACTATGGCCACAATTACACACCAGTGGATGTTGCTTCAGGCCTCACACCAAGCAATTAGGGAGCAATATGACTACATGGCTCAACCTGGAGTAGCTATACCTGATAATAATCCATGAAAAAGTTTTTAAAAAATAGGTGACCTAAAGTTTTGTAACATCAGAGCCATCAGTGCCCTAACAGCAAAGAGCTATCCACTTCCTCCAACCCAAACCATGCAGGACAATTTCAAGTAAAGTGTTTACTAACTGAGATGCTAGGAGTGCATATTGGTCAATACCTGTTGAGCTTTCAGACTGTGCAAAAAATCCCATTAGTGAAGGTGTAAGACTATTCCAGTTTGTTTAATGCCTTATAGGTTAAAAATTGCCCCACAAACGTTCCAACACACTATCAATTGTATATTATCACCTGCGCTTAGTCACCATACAGCTGCATACCTTCACAATTTTCAGAAAACCTTGCAAGGTGCAAGCTATTGCAATGATAATGAGGCCGAGAGATGTAAATGGTGTACATCTATCTCTGAACTTGGTAGGTTTCTTCTAACATGTCCCCAATTATGCAGAAATTGCACCCACAAGAATGCTCACTTCCTCTGGGGAAAAGAGCACCAAACTGCATTCAAGAGCCTCAAGATGAAGCAATTCTCTGTACCATTAATCCACAATTCCAACTACTCACAGCTTTTTGAGACGCACACTGATGCCTCGAAGATTGCAATAGGCATATAACTAATGCAGCAAGACCAGATGACATATCTTCACTCTATGGCCTAGTGATCCCATAAGATGAAAGGACCAGAGATCAGTTACAGACAGACAGTTACTGACTTTGATCCACATCTGCATGGCCGCTAATTATCTATCAGCACAGACCATCACCCCTTGTCTACGGATTCCAGTGATGCACCAAATGCCCAACCATGTCTAGATGGGGCCTCAAACTGGAAACGAATGACTACTGCATCCACTACCATCGGGGTTCCTGCCATAAAGTTTGCAATACTATGTTAAAAGCATTTGAAAATACATTTTCGGTTGAGGTGATTGGGGATCTTAAGTAGGAACCTTGCCCAAGTCCAGACTGTTACCTCCACTGGATACTGAGAGTGGTTGTCCCACACCAGCTTTACACTTCTGCTCTTTGTCTTAGACATGCCTCACCGTTCGCTATACACCCAGTTGTCTTTAGAACGTATTCGAAACCGAAAGGTATGTTCTATTTTCCATATATGAGACTATGTGAAATAAGCCTAATGCAATGCACCCATTGCTTCAAAACCTGAAGTGTCATGCCCCCTGGAAAGGTATCAGCAGATCCACTTCCTTTGCCCTTAACCTCTCAACGCAACAGTTACATATGCATGTATATATGTATGTAGGTATATATAAATATGTATATGTATATATATACTCATATATATACATATAAATATATATATTAATGTATATATACACATATGTGTGTGTGTGTGTATATATATACATAATATATATATATATATATATATATATATATATATATATATATATATATATATATATATATTTAATATATATATGCACATAAATATAATCATATATATATATATATATATATATATATATATATATATATATATATATATATATATATATATATATATATATATTTAATATATATATATACACATAAATATAATCATATATATATATATATATATATATATATATATATATATATATATATATATATATATGTAGGACAGCAGCTGCAGGACATGTGGGGGCAGCGAGACAAGGTCACTGTTTCCGCTGTCTATGTCTGCTTAATGACACGCCATATTACTTGGTTATCTACTCACACCTCGCCCTCGAGGTGCCTTAGATTGGCCTCAAGGGGTGACCGAACTTTGGCTGGTCATCTCGTTCTTGCGTGCATTGTCCTTGGTCCATCTTCTTCAACTTCGGACTCATCCAGACTTCCATGTAGTCCTCATCCAAGCCTAACTCAGTAGTGTTCTCGTCCACACGTCCTCGCAGATCTCGTCCAGGTTCTTCTCGACTCCGTGCTCGTCCAGACCTCATAATCTTTGTCTGGATCTACAAGCAGGAGGCGTCCTCTTTGGCATCTTAGTGCGTCCAGGCAGGTGGCGCCTTTCCACAGCATCAAGGGGCAATTGGTACCTGTGCTGGCAAGTTCCTGGTCCTTCACTGGATCTACGGACACCCAGGAGGCACCCTTCCACTACATCATGGGGCGGCTTAATACTTAATACAAACATCCTGGTCCACAGGCCTATGGTGATCTTCTGGTGACGTCCTTCCCACAGCATCTTAAAGTGACCGTTTCTGTAGCAGGGTACTCCTTCAGAGCCGTGTCGAGTATCATCGGTCCAATTGCTATGTATAGTCAGGGAACCAGATCATACAAGTAAGGACCAAGATAGTAAGAGAAATAGA